CATTTTTGTGCTCCATTCAAAACCAAACTGAGCTTCAGCCAGTCTTGTTTTGTAAACTGCTGTGATGCAAGAGAGCCACATACCACAGACCGAAACATAAGAAAGGTCTTTGTGGTTTGTCAAGTGTTTGTGAGAAAACAAACATCATAAATACAGACAGAGATAACTCTACAAACACATCAACAAGGTGATAGTTAAACCGTGGTTCATTGTAACATGGAAATAAAAGACTTCAGTACAATTTTTTGAGGTGAACCATTCATTTTTTATATTAAGCCATTAATACACATGAACTTGAGCATGTGTGGTGCGTGTTTGTTGTTCTCATCATTCTCTGCAATGACACTGAAGTTCCCATTTTACCCTTTTTGGTTGTATTTGCCCAGATTGTTATGTGCTGTCATCATGCTGTAGTATCAGCACTATCCAGTCTGTTTTCAAAATAACTTATCATGACTAGACACCACCCTGCTGCTTTCTTTTTTTCAAAGCCCTTTAAAATTATCTCTTCCCAGACAGTTCCTTACTGACGTCTGGTGTCTGGAGCACTTTGTTTATCATGGGGGGAAAAAAAGCAGATTAATCACAGGATTTTCTTTGCTTTTGATGCTGCTACAAGAAGCTAATTTGTACAATACTGAGACTAAAAACCAGTGAAATGCTCCAACCCAAAATCTGAAATGTCAACTGTCCCAACCCACAAAGTTTAAAAGTGAACCTTGTAAATCTTCTTGTGCCTCTGGCTCTAGAAATGGGAAAAGTTTTGATTGTGAGAAAGAATTTTGTTTTCCCAGCCATTGATACCTTGTAAAACTTTTTTAAGAGGCATTTTTGAAGACTAGAGCTGTATTCATGACGATTTCTTCAGAACATTGTGTTCCACACACTTTTTTGTATGTTCTAGGCACCTGCTGTGCTGAGGTGTTTATTTGAAAATGACAATGTAATGGTTTTAAGGGCATGGAGAATATAAAGTTTTTCCCCATGCATATGTTCTCAGCTTGGGATATGTAAAAATATTTTTTTTTAGTTAATATTTCAGAAGAACAGACAGAAGTCACTTTTTTTTACTTCAGAATAACATTACCATTACCTAGCCATTGGGATTACATAAAAAATTCAGTTCCCACTTCAGGTTTAGAATATGATGCCTCCCAAAGCAGTTTCCCTCCATCTGTTTTGCATATAATGAAGGCTTTTATGTACTTTCTTCCTCCTTCTCAGTCATTTATTTGGAATTAATGATTCAGAAAAACTTCTGCTCTTACTTAAGGACTAAAGCTCTGATTCTGGTGACAAATGCAGAGTGCTTACACACTCATCTTTTTTTTTTAACAGATTTTCCCTCCAAGTAATGCAGTTAGAGAGAGAGAGAGAAGAAAAAAAAGGTAGAGTACTTAATTTTCTCTTCACATGGCCTCTACACTTCTGGTTTTGATATAAAGAGAATCTACTGAAGTTGTGTATTGCCTCCATACCCAAACAGGATGAACGCCCCACTGTGTTAAAACACTAAAGCAGCATTGTATTAATATTAAACGGGTGTCAAACAGTGCCTAAACCAGTAAAACAAAAGGTGCAAAAGGGCCTTTGCTAAGGAGCTTAAATTGCAATTGGGTGGCTGCCTGGTGTGCAAGGTGTGCCTCTGGGCTCTGTCAGGTGCACCCCAAGTTTGAGGTAATCCTAGGCTGGGTTTAAGATGTGCTGGTGTGATATGTTGACAAACAGGGGGAGGTGTGTGATGAAAAATTCCCCACGCACAGGTGAGCTCAAGCCAAGGAAATGCTGAGAAAGAACCACAGGTGTGGGTACTGCAAGGGGGTGAGTGGCTCCAGCAGAGAGAAGGGAGCCTGGCACATCCTTGCCAGGAAAAACGTTCATTTTCTTTGTGTTAGTCCATGGTCTGGTGTGTAGAGATGTATAAAGAGATGGATTTAGGCAGGGTCGTTTTACAGTGTTGTAATTCTGAATGCTCAGGAGGCAGTGAGGGTGTTTTTGTCTTTGTAGTGTGTTAGACTCCCAAAACTTCCTCCATACAAATTTGTCTGATGGGCCATCATCAGTTGTGGTGTTGTGAGGTCCCCAGGACAAGGTGAGAGATGAGAATTTCACTCCATGTTCTCAGAAGGCTGATTTATTATTACATTACATTACATTACATTACATTACACACTGAAACTATACTAAAGCAAGAGAAAGGATACATCAGAAGGCTTTACAAGAATGACAAGGAAAGCTCATGACACCTCAGAGTCTGACACAGCTGGCTGTGATTGGTCATTAATTAAAAACAATTCACATGGAACCAATCAAAGGTGCACCTGTTGGTAAACAATCTCCAGACCACATTCCCAAGCAATCAGATAATTGTATTTTCATTTTTTCGTTCTTTTCTGAGGCATCTCAACTTCCCAGGAGAAAATCCTGGGCAAAGAGGATATTTCCAGAAAATATCATGGTGACAATCAATAGAATAGGAATGTGAGACAACAGCATGGATAGCAGACAGTATCTAGGTCTTTTGTAGGGGAAAAAATGTCAAGTGTTGAAAATGAATGGGCCTGCACCCCAGAAAAAGGTGAGGGAGGATTCCATGGGCACACATCTGGGTGGCAGAGAGAATAGGCTGGGAAGGAATAGGGACAAATTTTCTCTAGAAAAGGAGACAAATTCATGCAGTAGGAAAACACACAGGAGAACTTTCAGAGAGAGGATTTCAGGGTTATTAAAGAGTGCAAGGACTTGATTACAGAACTTTATTTTGAACGTGAAATTATTAATGAAGACAGATCACGCATCAAATAGTTGTAAACAAAGAGCTGAGGGTTTTCTGGAAATTAAAATGGGAATGTCTGCAATGCTCTGTGGCAACCACTGGATCTGGCTTTGAACAAAGTAACTATTCTGTGAGAGGGTACCAAGGGCATAATCACTGAAGAACGCTCCTGTTTGCCACAGTTTCAATCAATCATTAATCAGCCTTTCTTCTTTCCAGCTCTGTTTTCTTCTGCTTCTGCCTTGCTCAGCTCCAGGCCTTCAGAGTGGTGCAGTTGCACTGGTGCCCGGCCAGGAGTCTGCGCATTGAGGGAAGGAGTTTCCTGGACTCATTCTGCCACAAACATTCCAGCTAAATGCAACAGCCTGGAAGGGCTCCAGAGCAGAGACCCTGAAAAACACAACCCAGCTGGTGTGAGAGATAATAGCTGCCAAGTGAGGGTAGCTGACTGCAAGGGTGGCCGGGACTCGTCTGTCCTTGGATATTTTGAAATGTGAATAATCAAAGTCATTAGGCTGCTTTTGCCATGCTAATGAAATGGTCTTGCCTAAAGACTAAAGGAGACAAAAATCTGTCTCCAGAGGTCCTGGATTGTGGCATGGGTTACTGTCTACTCACTCACAACTGCATATTGGCATAGAATGTTTCTTTCTGTTAACTGTATTCAAGAAAAGACATTTTTTCCTTCTATCTCTAGGAACTTTGCTTCTTTTCCTTGCAAAATCAGTAGACCAGTTTGCCTGAAGGCATGGTGACTGCAGGTGTGTGGTTGTGCACACCTGGATGTGGATATGGGAGCATTTCTCTTCACCAGCTTGAGCTGATGGGTGGCAAATCAAACTCTTCCACACCCTGAACTTGAGTACTGCTTCAATTACACAGGCTGCACTGGGTTAATGCTCTAAGTTCTGGCTAGACAAACCTGACAGAAATGAAATGTAGCTGTTAATACTAAAGTTGGTGGATGAGGTGAAAAGGATTTTATGGGTAACTGTTAAGAAAACTGCACATCCAGTAGAAATGTCCTGCGGAAGCAGCAGATTTTATTGTGGTTCTGTGGTGAGGTCAGGAACAGCTCTATCACGAAAGGCACTGAGAGTATTCTCCCTGAGATGCAGAATGCTTTCTGGAGCTTCCCAAATGAATGAGGAACAAAGTCAGCAGCCACCAAGAGATGCAGATGGTGCTCACCAGAAGCCTGGCCACTCTCAGCACACAGTGCTGTGAGCCCAGCAAAGCAGGTTTCACTTGGATTAGCCTTCTTTCCCACTGACATCTTAGCATCTAGACAGCCCTATAAATGTAAAATTAGACACCATTTCTCCTCATAGCACAGTAGAGACAATATTTTAATACCTCTGCCCCAAATTTTCTTAAATTTACTCCTGTCATTCTTTCCTATCAGAATCTGAATTCCCATCTTTTATTTTCATGCATTATCTTTTTAACTTGTTAAAAAGGGAAGATCACCTCTGTCTCCTGTAGGGAAGGATGACAGAGTACATTTGGTGTACATCCAGTTTGTGGCCCTCTGAGCTTTACTTTGTGTCTGTTCAGGGGTGAAGAAAATGTGACTGATGGGGTATGAAAGGTGAGTTCTTCTTCTTTTTAGAAATAAAACCAAACCTATGGCAATAGAAGGACACCGCCTTCCTACACCACTTCCCTCCTGTTTTGAACCAGAGCTGCTCCATCCACTTGTTTTTATTTACTTCAGATTGGGATTAGAAGCCTATGGGAATGAGGGATGCATGATCCTTAAGAAGATTCAAGTCTATTTTTTTTTTTTTTTGCATGCATGATCTTTAGGAAGACTCAAGTCTGGTTTTTTTTTTTTTTTTGGCTAGTGATTTCATTATGAGTAATTAGAATTTGGCCCCTTGCTTTTCACCAAAACATGAAGGTCCTAAAGCGGTTTCGGGAGGTTTGGGCGCCTCGGGTCGTGCGCTGCGTGCCCGGACGGGCGGGGGGAGCCAGCATTTCCGCCGGTATCCCTGGCACGGGGACCCGCTCCGGGGGCCGGGCTCGGCGGGGCGCGATGGCCGCGGCATCCCCGAGCCCCGCCGGGCACGGCAGCGCCGGCCTCGGCCCGCCCCGGGCACTGCGTCACCGCCCCGCGCTGCGCCCATTGGCTGAGCCCGCTGCCAGTCCGCCAGACCGGCCAATCAGAGTGCACTGCTCTCGCGGGCGCGGAGGCGCCGCGGCCGCAATAAGACGCGCGGTCCGCCCCTGGCCCGGCCCGGCCGCGGCTCCGGCGCTCCCCGTGAGGCGGTGGCGCGGCGTCAGCCCGGTAACTCCCGGGGGATCGGGCAGGGGAGGAGGAGCGGTCGGTCCTGGGTTCGGGAGGGTTTCCTCGGCGGGGCTGTTCCGGCGCTCCTGGGAGGGATGGTGGTGCTGTCCCCCGGGGGAGGGGGCAGTGGCTGCGGGGCACCCCCTGCCAGCCCGTGGCCGTGTTTGTGTGCCCGTGTCCCTGCGAGCCCGTGGCCGTGTCTGTGTTTGTTTGCGCGGCTCCGGGAGGCGCTGCCCTGCTTGTGGCCGAGCCCCCGTGCTCAGGAAGGGCTGGGACGCGCAGGTGCTCCGCTTAGGGACGCCTTGGGAAAGGGATGAGCTCGACCCGGCTGGAGCAGGAGCCCTGTAAATGACGGCTTTTGGTGTTGGACCTTAAAGCTGTGCTTGGCCCAGAGATTGGCCGGTGTAAGATGTTATCTGTCATGAGCGCCGTGCGCTGCTGTGCTGAGCTGCAGCCCTGGGTTCCTGTTCTGTCATAGAGTAAACCACAGAATGGTTTGGGTTGGAAGGGACCTTAAAGGCCATCTAGTTCCACCCCCGTGCCATGGGCAGGGACACCTTCCACTAAACCACATTGCTCAGACTCCAACCAGCCTGGCAATGAACACCTTTAGCACCCACAGCACCTTCTGTGGACAACCTGTTCAGTGCCTCTGTGCTGGCTCCACGTCTGCTGTCTATATCCTCCCTGGTCCCCCGGAGCTTTTGGTAGATTTCTGCACGCTAAACCTATGGTAATTGCAGCCTAAACAAATCTTAGGGAGCAAATGGTGTCCCGGGGCACGTGGGAGAGCAGAAACTTTCCCTTGTTGGAAATGCAGGAGCTGTGCGTTGGCATCTTTTTGGGAGGAGGCATTTGGTGGCTTTCCCAGCCCATACAAGCGGTGTGTGCTCTATTTTTTAACGGCTTTGGGAGCAAATGGTGCTGGTATGGCCATTTGCACCTGTGGGCTCTTTCTGTGAGCACTGGTGTTGATTCTTTCCCTGCAGGTAACCAGCCAGGAGTGTGTGCTGGCCTCTGCATAAAGCAGCTCTTGAGCCTGTGCTGGGATTTGTGTAGGTTGTTCCTTTGCTGTAGGAAAGGTGAGTAGGATTATTTCCATGTGTTTCTGTAAGGCTTTCTGGTTTAAATGCTTCCAGAAGTGGAGTGATATTTAAACAACGCTGTGATTTGCTAGTTCTTTCTAAATTTGTTTGAGGATTGTGCTTCTGCCTAATGTTTTATAGAAGTGAACTGGAATTTATAGCACCCAGATACTGTTTGGTCTTTGTATAAGTATATCTTTTATACTAACTAACTTTTTGTTGTTTTTGGCTAAAATGCCAACTAAACTTTGGCAAAGAGGTGCATCACCCCTATTGTTGGGTCTTAATTTGGTTTTGTAGCTTATGTAATCTATTCCTGTGGATAACAGAATCAATTAATCTGAATAGTGAAGTATTTGCAGAGATAGAGCTTTCTGTGCAGCTATTTTATGTGTAGTAGCTCATGCTGTGAACACACTGCAATTTTTAAATTTTATCTGTGGTATGTTGAGTAGGGATCAGTTGCTTTAGGTGGAAATGCTGTCAAATACTTGTTTTTGTTATAAACCTAGGATCTTACAGGGTGCAGGTTAGTGTTGGGTCTGGTGTGACACCCGAATCCTAGTGATAACTGATTTCTTTGCCTTAAGTGCAGCTGATTGTTTGGAGTGGAAAAGGTGGACCATGCAGGGAGTTTTGTCTGAGATGCTTCTTGCCCTACACAAATCCCAGCCTGCCTTTGCATGAAATGAGACTTTCTTTTGTGTTTTTCAGCTGTCTGTCGGGTGTCAAACAATACCTCCTGATATTCTGTAAAAACCTCAGTCCTCAAAGGCTTTTTAATCCTGAGCTGTGCCATTAGGCAGAAATCAGCACTGGGGGGGTTTTGCAGAGTGCCCTTGTGTGATGTAGACTCTGTCTTAATGTGAGATTAGAGGAGAGCTAAGCTGCTGTTACAAGCAAGATCAGATTCCTGAGTCTGTTAATGAATTTAACTTTTCTAGACAGTTTTTTTTTTGAAAGCCTGTTAAAATGAATGCTGGTATTGTGCTGGGTGTTTCCCAAAACCCGGAGTGCATGGGCCTACCCCATCCTGCTGACCTAATTCAGGGTCACAGAGGGCCTGAATTTGAGACTCTTGGAGTGTGACTGAGGCAGCTCCAACTGATTTGAGATGAGGGGAGCTCCTTCAGCGTGTCATGGAAACCCAGCCCAAGGCTGGGAGTGCAGAAATCAGAGCTCAGTCTCCCACTGCCCGTGGTTTTGAGAGCACTTAATGTTCATCTGAGGTACAGCAGTCCCCCCAGTGCAGAGAGCTGTATTTTTATATTCTTTCCCCTGCTCTCTCCATTGCCCTCTAGCCTTGTCTCAGGTCAGAGGGATCAGGTGGGGTTTCAGAATTGCAGTCCTGTGTTAGATGGGCCTTTCAGGCATCCCAGTGTCTGCTGGCAGATCTCTGCCCACCTTGGCAGACCCTTGGGTGGGTGGTCAGAGTGTATCTGCCATTGAAGGCAGTCCAGAGGAGATGTTGCTTGAAAGGAAAAAGAGGAAGGTGCTGTTTGACCTTAAGAATGAGGACAGCAAACAGGCTTTTTGTGCCCACTCCCAAAGTAAAAACATTAATCCTGGTGCCTAAGAATCTGGCATTGTAATTCACAAACAGGAGAGGAGAAACAGGCTTGAAAGTCAGGAAGATGGTGGGATAATCTGTGAGGTCACTTGGGGATTCAGTGAAATGAGGACTCACTGGCTGTACATTGCATCCCAGAGTATCTGTGTTGTCACACGTGAGCGTGGAGGCATGATGGAGGAGGTGGCCTGGGGAAAAAGTCAAGCATAGACTGGCATAATTAGCAGGACAGGATGGGGATATGAGGAAATTCTGCAGAGTGTGACTGTGTTGACACCTCCTTTGAGAAAAGCTGATAGGGTTTTGTGTGTTGCCAGCTGCAGTCCTGTGGTGCCACTGTGCAGTTCCTCTGGCTGAGGGCCACAGCTGCTCTCTGTGCCTGCATTCCCTTGGGGCAGAGAGGGTCTGGACAGCCCTGCTGGGCTCCAGCTGCATGTGGCACCTCAGAGTTCCCCAGTGTGACTGTGTTCACAGGGGTCCAAGGAAAAGGGAAGAGATGAGGATCTGACTCCGTGTTTCAGAAGGCTGATTTATTATTTTATTATATATATTATATTAAAACTATGCTAAAAGAATAGAAGAAAGGATTTCATCAGAAGGCTGGCTAAGAATAGAAAAAGAAAGAATGAATAACAAAGGCTTGTGGCTCAGATAGTCTGAGACAGCTGGGCTGTGATTGGCCATTAATTAGAAACAACCACATGAGACCAATCACAGATGCACCTGTTGCATTCCACAGCAGCAGATAATCATTGTTTGCATTTTGTTCCTGAGGCCTCTCAGCTTCTCAGGAGGAAAAATCCTAAGGAAAGGATTTTCCATAAAAGATGTCTGTGACATCCCAGTGAGGGAGATCTGCTGCTCTGGGAGCCTGGGATACTGAGTGAGGCTCTGTTTGAACACTTGAGGCAAACTGTAGGCTGGAACAGCTTGTACCAATCTGCTCCTGATCAATGGTTTTAGTGGGCTAGTTGCAACAAGCTGGGTGAAGGATGGCACTTTGCTTCCCACATGGAGCCTCCTGGTTTGGAATTCCTCCCACTGTCAGTTGTAAAATCACACTCAGCAGACACTTGTTTCCTTGCTTGTTTTGATTCTGATAGTTGTTTACTTTTCACTGCCTTATTGCTACTTGTACTGCATTGTCTGTGGGGTGTTTGATGTTTCTGTCTCGTGCCTCTGTCCAGATGTGTCGCTGTTAGATGCCAGACCAGCTGCCCTCTGTGCCAAGCTGCAACCAAGATGGCAAAGTACAGGCTCGTTCTCCTGAGACATGGGGAGGGAGCCTGGACCAAGGAGAATCGCTTCTGCAGCTGGGTGGACCAGAAGCTGAGCAGTGATGGCATAAAGGAAGCGCAGAACTGTGGCAAGCACCTCAAGGCCCTGGGCTTCGAGTTCGACCTGGTCTTCACCTCCGTGCTGAGCCGCTCCATCCAGACCGCCTGGCTGATCCTGCAGGAGATGGGCCAGGAGTGGGTGCCCATCCAGAGCTCCTGGAGGCTGAACGAGCGTCACTACGGAGCCCTGATCGGGCTCAACAGGGCGGAGATGGCTCTGAACCACGGCGAGGAGCAGGTGAAGATCTGGAGGAGGAGCTACGATGTCACCCCGCCCCCCATCTCCGAGTCTCACCCCTACTACGCCGAGATCTACAACGACCGCCGCTACAAATGCAGTGATGTGCCTCAGGAGAGCCTCCCGAAGGCTGAGAGCCTCAAAGATGTGCTTGACAGACTCCTTCCCTACTGGAATGAAAAGATAGTGCCAGAACTGAAAAGTGGCAAAATGATCCTTATCTCTGCTCATGGCAACAGCAGCAGGGCGTTGCTGAAGCACGTGGAAGGTAAGGGCCTCTGTTTCAGCCTTCCCCTCTCTCCTTGCTCAATGCCTTGGAGCTTTAGGTGTTGTTCTCTAGTGTCAGTATGTTACTGACCCAGAACTGGTCCTGAAAATGACTTATTTGGGACTTTATGATAAAAAACATACTTTTCATTGTTAGGCTCTTCCCTCTCTTCCTCTTTCATCTCCTGGCTTCTTGGCCATCCTAAACTGGAAGTTGAACTGTATTAATTTCTTTGTGGATAGAGCAGATTTCAGTGATTATGTATGTGTGAATGCAACCTACTGCAGTCCTGGAAGAGTTGTAGTTGTAGTTGCAGTTTTAGTTACAAATATGCACAGACTGGATTGTGTCCACTCAGGGTTTTTTTGTTTTTTTTAGTTATAAAATCCTCTGTTCTGTGGCTCTGCGTGCTGATTACTTTGTGCATTTGGCCATGCTGGAACAATCAGGACATCAGGAGTCTGAAGGCTATGAAATGAGCAGATACAAATGGCTTTTGAGACTGGAGAGGCTGTGAGTCCTGGGGTGCAGATCATGGATGGAGGAGGAAGGGCTGGTTCAGTCAGTTCATGATGTGGTCGCAGTGGTTGTCCACACTGTGTGAAATGATAAAGGAAGAAGGGAAAGGGGATCTGCTGACTCCCCTGCCTCCCAAGAACTGAACCAGCTCCATGAAACCGTGCTGGCCAAGCCCTTTGGGGTGAGATGGTGACAGCTGAGTGTAGGTCCCAGCAGAGATCCTGAGAGGGGACATAGTCAGGAGAGCTGACCCAAACTGGCCAGAGGGATATTCCTTAGCCCTTATGATGCCTGCTCAGCAGGGAAAGCTAAGAGAAAGGAGGAAGGGCATTTGTGATGGCATTGAAGCAATAGCTGTGCACACTGAAGCCCTGATTAGTGGCAAGTGATTGGATTGCCTGCTGATGGGAAGTAGAGAATAAATCCTTTGTTTTCCTTTGCTTCTGTGCTTGTCCTCTACTAGTGCTTTAGTAAACTGCCTTTATCTTGACCCACAAGTTATTTTTGCATCTTTTCTCCCCACCCGTTGTGCTGAGGATGGGAGTGATAGAGCAACTTGGTGAGCAGCCACACCACCAACCCACCACAGTTCTTTTTTGGTGCCCCACTGTAGCCCCCTACTACTAAAGCCTGGTGTGCAAACCTGATACAGACAGAAAGTCTTGGCAGACATGAGCGGGACAAATGTAAATTATACACTACAGCCATGGCTGTAGCCCACCCATCTTTCTTCCTTAAAATTTGCACGGCAAGGTAAGAGTCTGTCAGGATGAAAAGCCAGATTCTAACACTGTGCTTGTTTCCCTCCTCTGCCCTGTTGAAGTTAGATCTGTTCAGCCTGCAGGGAGGGCAGAAAGTGGCTCTGAATATTTTCCTTTCCAGGCTAAAGCTTTAGTGCTTTCATTAAGCATATGGGATGCTATGACCTGGTTTAGAACCCAGTTACAAAGCACCAGTATTAAACAAGCTTTTGTGGCTGAATTGATGCATTTGATCTTGTGTATGATCTTTTATTGGATGAATCATCTGGACATGCAGAGAGGAGGGTGTTGTTGTTCTCAACAGCTCTTGTGGGTTTTGGCTTCCTCTGACCATAAGAATAGGAGGGAGGAACCTGGTAAGAACAGGTGAGAGGGAAGGAGAAGCTGAACCAGCCCTCTGAAAGTGCTGTAGTGCTCAAAATCTGGGATTTGTCTCTGTAGGACTTTGCAAGGTCCAAATATTTCAAAACGCTCCATGGGCTACCACATGAAGGTGAATTCTTAAGCTTGCCTGGAGATATTTCCAATTTGTGTGTTTGGTTAAATGGAGGGTAAGTGAGCTGGGGAGGAATTCTGAATGTGATTTTGAAAGGTCTCTTTTATAAAAAGTGCTGTACCAAGTTACTGTAGTGTTTCTGTACCTGACTTCACAGGTGGGGAGCAGTGTTCTCAGAGCATGGGATATGTTCACTTGAGGGTGCACCTGCCTAATCAGCATTTTATCTGTGCTCCTCAAGAAGTCATCCTGAGTATTTCAGTAGTATCTGTGGGTTCTCACAACTATAATTAGGTAGGACCTGGGTTTTAAACCTTCTTGGTTAAAAACTGCTTCGAGCAGCTCAGCATTTCGGCAGTGCTGAGACCCAGGCTTTGGTATTAAACTGTTACTTCTTCACTGGTCTTATTTACCACTGCACCTTGGAGCCAGCAGTTGAGGTCCTGCCCTGATTTCACCCTTCTTCCCTGTGCCATGGGCTGGGTTGTGACTCAGGCCAGCTCAGATGGAGCTCAGGAAAAGGTCAGCTGGTTCTGGTTACAGCACATGGAGTAACTGGATAGCACTCGGCTCACACTGCAGCCATTGGTGTGATCCCTTTGGTGTCCTGCTGGCTGGGGACTGGTCTGGTGAGCTCTCCTGCAACCAAAGAGCCTGTGTGACCAGCCTGCTCATCCTCTTGCTTCCTGGAGAACAGAAATGCTACACACAGCAGCAGGCACTGTTGTTTCTTTAGGATTTTCATCTGACTTCAGCTTGTGTTTCCAGGCTTCTGGCTGTGGGGCTGCACTTCTCTATGAGGAAAACTCCTGAGGAGAAAACCATCATGTTTGCTGCTGTGTGTTTATCCTAGGCTGCACTGTTTTGCTTTGTAAATCAATACTAGTTGACATTGTGGTCACTCTGTGTTCTGTAAAAACAGCAAAATGCAGTTCTGAACCCGTGTAGGTACAGCTAGTTTTGTTTAATCCCTCTCCAGAGGAAACTTTTAAATATCACGTCTCCTGACCACATTATGTGGTTTGCCTGAACTCTCCTGCATGACCTCATCTGCTGTGTGTGTATGTGAATGGTTTAGTCTGGGAGACTGAGCTTAGGAGGTGGCCAGAACACTTCCTAGGCATGGATTCTCTGGGAATATACATGGGGATGTGGCTGTTGTTAAAATCTGATGCTTCAGAATCCTTGAAATAAGAGCTCAGGCAGCTTGTTTTGCAAACAAAGTCCTTGAGAACACTGCTTGTGCCTGGTGAATGGATGCAGTATTTTTCCTACTCATTTCTGTGCCATTTTAAATTCTAGGTATTCTTTGATGTTTTTCCCTGTAGGTCTGATTCTGTGGCCTACACCAGGTGAATTATTTGTCCCTTGTCTGCAAGAATTGCTTGAGCTATCTGAGTGTGACTTGTTTCAGTGGACTGATGCCCAATATGTAACACGGTGTAAGTTCTTTGCCAAGGTTTGTTTCTGGTGCTCCATGCCCTTCTGGAACTTAGGGCTCACCCAAGTGCTGAGCATGAAGCAAGAATAGATCACTGCAGAAGTTGGGTGTTGGTGCAGGGGTACATGATCCCCTCCTCATGAACAATTCTGTTTTTTCTGGCCTGTTGTCACCCCACTTTTGCTGAGTTGCTTGACTCGTGTGTGTTTTCCTGTTAATGTGATGGCTCTGCTGTTCTACTTATGTGCAAATCTCTGGTAAATTTACACCCCTGTTATTCTGAGTGCCGCCTGTTTTGTCAGCTGCTGCAGGAGGATGTTTGCTTGGTGCACCTTGGTCTGGTCCATGTGGTGTCATCACTTCAGCAGCTCGTGTTGTGCATTTTCTGAGAGAATTACTCAAATCTGCCCTGCCTCACAACAGCAGGCTGCTGCTGGGGCCTCAGTGCTTCCAAAAAGGGGGAAAGGAAATCTTGACATGCCCAATGACACCAGCTTTCTTTTGCCTGATTTTTTTGAGGGATAATGTCTTTGCAGTCAGTGCTTTTAATGCAATTATTTAGACTTTGTGTGGAAGCTTCACCAGGATGTTTGGTCTTGGAGGCTTTGGATGTGTGTTTGATATAAAAGTAAACAGCAATTTCATTGAGATGAGAGCCCAGAATATTTTAATTACACGTCTGCATAACATAAATATTATTTTCCAGGTACACATTCCTTTAGTTAAGTGGAAGAAAAAGAAGAATGCTCCAAGTACAAGCTGACTTTCTGCCTCCTTTTTCTTCCCCTCATTTGAAAGTGGAAATTAATATCTTGTGTGTAGGAATTCTGAGAACAGTACTGTGGACTTGCTTGTGAGAAATCAGATGTGGGCAAGGAGTGATTCTCACACAAGTAGAATTAAATACTGACTTTTGTGACAGTTTGTGTGACAAGAATTGCCCAGAAAATTTAAGAGAAAAATTAACCTTGTTATCCTGCCTCTTTAATTGGCTGTGTAGTAGAGGTTGTTTCATGTTGGAGCAGCACATGTGGGCTCCCATCTTTTGTGATGTGTGAGCTGGGAAATGATGGAGGGGAACCTATTGTACTCCATGTCCTGTATGAAAGGAACAGTGTAGTCTCCTGGGCAATCTCTTCCTGTTTATTTCACACGTGGAGGCTGAAAAAGTGAAGAAACTTCTTCACCTGGATGGGAATTCTCTCCTTCAGCTGCTCCTAAAGGACTTGGCAAGCTGTGGCCTGGCTGGGAATTGACCCTTGAGTGGCTGGTGGTGTCCATGGAGGCTGGAAGGTGTCCTTGGCTGTTTTTAGACTGGGTAACCTCAGAAATAAGGCAGCAGGCAGTGAGGAGGCTGCAGGTGTAACTCTGTTTTGTTTTTCTTTGGCAGGCATCTCCGATGAGGACATCATCAACGTCACCCTCCCCACTGGTGTGCCCATACTGCTTGAACTTGATGAGAATTTGCACCCTCTGGGCCCTCACCAGTTTCTGGGTGATCAGGAAGCCATCCAAGCTGCCATCAAAAAAGTGGAAGATCAAGGGAAAGTGAAATCTGCTGAGAAGTTAAATCCCACTGTCTAACACAGCTGTGTTCAGTGTGTGAGGATGTGTGAATGACTGCTAGGTTGCACTGTGTGAATGTCTCAAGCACTAAATAATTGGAAGGGACAATTGTTGAGTCTCAGGTTGGTAGTTTACCCCTCTGCCTTTTCAAAAACTGGTATTTAGATTGCAGTGTGTGAGGTTTTTGATACTGGAAAAGGAAGAGATGATTCAGGTAAAGGAAGCTGGCAGGGCAGCCTCCCCCAGATCCACACTGAGGATGGCCCAGAGGAATAAAGGGATGTGATATTGGTGTCAACAACAATCAGTCCTGATCTGGTAAGGAGAAAAGCACCAGCTTACTGGACTAATTTCAGTCCAGGATGTTATAGGCACTAAAACTGTCACTGACAAAAATGTCACTGTTACCAACTAGGATTTTTCTGTGTCAGTTTGTTCTCAGTGGATTTCCACTTTCAGCTGGACAACTCTCTGCCTTTGTTATTTTGAGTCTTCTGTGGCCAGTTCACAGTCCAGAGACTTTTGTAGAGGTGTTCTGACTACTAGAGTTATCATAGTTACCTTTTTTTACACTCTGTTTGGTTTTTAAGGAATGCAGATGGAATCCCTTTTCCTCCACCATCTTTGCAAAGCCTAGCATCACTGCATTTTGCTGGCTTGCAGTAATAGGATTTAAGTCAGACTTTAGTCCACAAAAGAAGCACAAAGGTTTTCTTCTGCTCAATTTTAAAATTATGTAGCTCCTAGTGAGGGACCTGAATACCTTTGAAATATTTTGGTAACGTGTACTAGAGGTTTTATCACCCCTTAGTCATTTGATAAATAATTCCTGCTCACCTCAGCCAAAGTGACATAGGAAAAACCCCTCTAAGCTTTCCTGAGTTGCAAAGGTATCTTGATAAATGTGTTCCACAGTAACATCAATGTGGCATTATCTGTATCCAGTTCTCTGAAGGGCTGGGAGAGGTGCATGCAGCATGTCACAAGTGTTGCAGCTTGTTCAGGACCCTGCTGGTAAGGAAAGCTATTCTGCCATGCCTGAAGGAGTTCTGTAAAGCTCTCCTCACAATCACAGCTTGATTCCTGCTGTTTGGCACTGGATCTGACCAGGTCACCCTGAAGTTGGATGCAGTGTGGCAGCAGTGGCAGCCTGGTGTTCTCTTCACGTACACCAGCACCAGGGTAATTCCACTTCTGAAGAAGTTGCTCCTAATCTTACCTGCAGGTATGAAACTGATAAAAAGATTACATCTGACCCACTGTGCCAACTCCTGAGCACCTGATTCTGACCTTGGATACCAACATGGGTGGCACCTGTGTGTGTGCTGCTTGAGCTGGGTATGTTCTCAGCATGGCCCAGCTGCAAATCTCAGTGTTGATGGGAGTTTCCGTGATACGAGTATAAAGTTTTAAAATCCTGCTCTGCAGTGAGCAGCTCTGTAGCTTGCTTTGTGAGTGTGAGAGGATGATTTTTTCCTTTTGAAGAGAGCAGTGTGACAGTGTGGTGTGTCTCTGACAGTCTTGCTGACGTGTGGAGGAAAACTTTGCAGCTCACATTAGAGTAGCACCTACTCCATAAAAGACTCCTTGCTAGAGAGTAGTTTCTCATGCATGAATGGTGCTTGGGCTTCCCTTTGGTTTTGTTTTTGTAGCCCTTGCAGTAGAAGCAAAGTTACATGTTTCTCTTTTAAACATAAAGCTGGTAGGTTTCATCTTTCTTTGTACAAGAGGCATATTTCAGTGTTTTTTGGTTGTTTTGGTTTTTTTTTTCCCTCTGAAATGCTATTAGCAGCTTCTCTGGTACTTGATTTGATACTGACGTAGTTTCTGGGGTTTTAGTTTCTGTGCTTAGAGTAACTCTGAGCTTTAGTTGATAGTTTCCAAGTGAGTGTTACAGTGTTAGATTGCTGATCAGCAAGAGTTCACCTGTGAAAACCCTGGGAAGGGTCACTGGCACTCGAGTGAGTAAATTCTTCCCCAAACATGAAATAATGTGTGAAGCTCAATATCAAGTAAATGCTACTGCAGGCTTGTAAACAGAGCCACCTGCTGCCAGTGGGAGCTGGGTGCACCCATGTGTGTGAGCACACAGGCCATGTCCACATCCCTGTGGCACTGTGGAATTGTGGTGCAGAGCTGCTTCAGGATGTGACCTGCAGCTGCAATATCCTTGGAAATGAACCCAGCTGAGCTGGGAGACAGGCTCTCTCCTCCCCTGAGAATCCATGGTCTCCTCTGTGGGTGGAGAGGGGAATGGGAAGGTGGGTGAGGGAATTTAGGGAGCATTAACTGCAGCTGAAATCACCCTTTGAGTCGTGGCCAGGATGAGGAGAGCAGCAGTGTGGTGTTTGCAGGAGGTGCTGTTCTGCTTGTGACAGTGCCCTGGGGAGTTTGGCTTTGTTTGCTTGGACTGTGGCTCCACAGTGATGACAGGATCTTATGTGCACATCTGGCAGCAATAACACCTTGCAAAAGTATCAAATGGAGCCAACTGAGGATTTCATTCTGCTCTTCAGGATTATTTTAATGCCTTGCAATTCCAAGTAACCTTTTATTTAAAATCCTGATTCATAAGCCATGTCTAGTGAAGAGCAGACACAAGTTCCAAGGTGTCAGACACCAAGATCTTCAGGCATAGCTACATCAGAGGGAGAAATGAGAATCTTGCTGTAGAGATCAGTGGTTGGGAAGTATTTTCTCCCTATGTTTGTGTGCCTCACAGTCCTATAAGGTAAATGGTGTTTTTAACATAATGGATGTGGTTGATTTGGTTTGTTTCTGCCTTTTTAACGTGTGGTTCAGTAGCACTAATAGCTCTAGATCCTCTTGAAAACCTTTGTAAATATGGTGGAGCTGGCAGGATCTTTTTAACTCAATAAATCACCTCAAATAGAATTTAATTTGGCTTCAGTCTTTTTTTTTCTTCTACTCCTATCGCCTTTGTTTCCTTTTCAGGGCTGGTAAGTAAATAAAACTGACCTTCAGGATCCCAAAACTTCTCAAACAGTTGTTTATCACACATCATGCAGTCAGTTGGGTTAAAATAGTGCTGGAGCCAACACTTCCTTGTGTTTACATGTAAAGAAGTTGGAGGCAATACATACTCCTTCAAAACTGAGGGGGCATTTACTTAGGAACTTTACTTCCAGAACAGTGCATCTAAACAAATTCTTACTGATTCCCATGCTTGCTTTTCATTTTTGTAAGAAGCATCACTTTTGGTGGTGTGTTTAAAGCTGTGGCTTCTGGAGACAAAGCCAACCAATTCAAAATTGTTCTGGTATTTTATAGTGTATTCTCTCCCTTTCCCACAGTCACTTTTTGTACTTTGCTTTGGTAACACCTCACATTGTTCCAGAGCCATCTCCACTGTTTCTTGTGTTGGGAAAAGACCACCTGAAGACCAGCTTGGTTTCAGTTTGCAATGCTTTTGTGCCAAGGACTTTGCTCTGAGCCTGTTCTGCACAGCCGGAGGAGAGACTGACTCTACCTAGCCACATTTTCAAAATTTCAACTTTGCTTTTCTTCTTTTTCTTCCATATTTTTTTTAGTTTTAATTTGTGGGGAGTGCTCATTCTCAAAGTTCACAATAAATGACACTTGCCTTGTCTGTCTTCTCTGCATCTCCTCAGCTTTAAATTCCCATGGGCAGGAGAGGAAGCCCAGAGCTGTGGTGGGAACTGGCTGATGATTCAAATAGAGGGTGCAGAAAGGTTTGGAGTCTCTTTGACAGCTGTGCTGAGCAGATGTTGCTGCTTTTTCCTTGTGTTGGGTGGCCAAAGGCTCTGGGTGTGGGTGATATGAGAGGGAAGTGCAGTTTGGCACAGTCTAGGATGGCTGTGCCATCACACTCCTCCTCACACTGCCTCATCCCTTGTCACCCAGCAGCTATTCCAGCCTTGGGGCTGTTCCAGCAGAGTTTAGCAGCCAGGTTGTGTCCCCACACTGCAGAGGAAAAGGCAGCAGGGGAGGAGGCTCCCTGTCCTTGCTGTTCCCATTCTGCTGGCAGAGCAGGGGAGGGCAGCAGACACCAGGCTAAGGCTGTGCTGTGCTGTCCCTCCCAGGGCAATGAAGTGGCCTGGATGTCCTCTAGCTCCTTATTTAACTTCTCTGCGCTTCCCCTTCTGATACCTTACAACTCAAATTCCACAGGGAGCTTGGATTTTGGTCCTTGTTTCTCCTTTCTGCTGGCTCTTCTGCAAGGAGAGACATTGACCCACAGCTCAGTTGGAGGTGGCAATGTGGATGGTCCTTGTGGGTGCCTTCCAACTCAGATTGTTCTGTGCTTGTTGCTGTGCTGCTGCAGTTACTCCTGTCAGGCTTCAGAAAGCAGTTGTGGCTCTAGTGGGAAACAACTAGGGCCACAAACTAATGTTTGCAAGCATTATTGCCTCGTTAACAGAGCCATCTTCTTCCTCAGGTCTGTCCCAGCTCCTGAGTATTTCCTCACCTTTGGTCTGGTTCTTGCGTGAAATTGGGGAAAAGGCATTCTCTCTCCCAGGAAAGCAGTGTGAATCCAGAGGCAGCAGATGCTGTCAGTTTGGGCTGCTGCTGGCCTCAGAGGAGCCAGGCACTGCTTTGCTGCCATCTTCCAGCTTGGTTATGTCTGCCCATGAGGAGCAAATGGCACAACTGAATATGGTTTTTAGTGGAAGTGCCTGTTTATTGCAGTAAAACTAATTTTTTTCTCCTTGTTCCTGGTGATAATCGAGCAGAAGAGCTGGAAAGTAGGAATGTGCATGTGCTATTAATCCCTTAACCTAGATTGGGCATGCCTTGCTGTTAATTAACTCCCCAGTGCATCCTGCTTTCCTGGCACTTGCCAGGCTCTCACTAACTACTGTGCTTAAACCTGAGCTAGACCTCTAAGAGCTGTGGTTCTTCAGCTATTCCTGAACTGCAATTTGCTTTTTTCCAGAATCTCTATGGAAGGCAGTGATACTGGCCGTGCTAGGGGTGAGAAAACAGGCACAAAGATCCCTGAGCATCCCTGAAGGCAAAGCCACTGCAGAAATTGCAGCTGCAGATGGGCTTGTAGGAAAGCAAGTGGACAACAGGTGGAGCAAGTGCATTGTGGTGGAGGATGCACAGGAAAAGGGGTGGATTTTACACTCCTGTGTGCACATGGGGACAGAGAGGTGTCATCAGCCTCTCCTGAGAGGCAGCACATTTTATCTCACAGCCAGAAATGCCCTGTGGTGGGACAAGTGGTGTGAGGGTGAGTTAGTTCTGCTGGGGAATAAACTGCAGCCATCATCTGGGGTGGCTTGTGCAGATCAATCCTACTTTAGTGTAACATCAGCAGCTTCACCAGAGCACTCAGTGCTGCACGAGAAAAGGTGCTCAGCAATGAGCAAATGCCAAATCAAAAATAATTGGAAATTAATTGGAAAGTGGCTTAGATTTCAGTGATCTGATTTCAGA